GTAATAACTAATGATGAACAGCTTAGCAGAGAAAAACCCCAAAAATATAATGAATCATGCAAAAATCTCTTCTCAAACTAATCAGAATAATCAATATCGAAAAAAAACTTGGACATATATTATTATTGCTGAAATTATGTGATTACAAATTACATCAAGTAGCAGACAGCCTTCTTCAACTGATAATATGATAATATTGTCTCTAGCAGAGATAAATTGATAATATTATTTCCAACCTCAACCCTCAGCTAATCCTTAATGATACAAAACATATTCTAACATATGTTGCTCATTTCTTTGGTTTGGATCCAAACCTTGCATACCCCTATGTTCATTATCTACCTTTTTATTTATACATCTATATCTCACTTTCTGAAGCAATTGCATCAATCTCGTCAATAAAGATAATTGACGGGGCAGTCCTTTTAGCTTTTGAAGATATTTTCTTCAGATGAACATGAGATTTCAGAAATAAATTCAGTAGCAAAAATTGGATAGAAATTGTAATCGGTCTCGTTAGCGAGCTAATCTAGTATTGCCACAACAGGTAGTCCATGCAACAAAACACCACCGATTGGTTTTCCTCCCAGTTTAAACATGTTAGGATTAAAGATTGACCATAAAATTTTGGTTTTCAATTTCTCAATTACATTTTTCATCCCCGAGGTTGAGGTTGTTGTTATCTGCAAAATTTCTTCCTTTTCTTGTCCTACGTCCATTTTCTTACTTTTCTTTCAACAAGAATATGGCTTTCATCATTATGGATGTCGTAGTTATGACGACTATTATTGATGAACTTAAGAGCCTTACGAACTAATCGAATCAGTTCTTGACGCTGGTGATAATCAGAATAAGTTGAACGGAGATGATTGATTATTTTCTCAGCCTCGGCGGATGAGTTATTTGCTGTGTAGGATTCGACTCTACGCCGAAGAGTTTGTACAAACAAACCACCTTCTTCTCCGTTTTTGCTTTTCATCTCTCGAATATCTAACTGTAAGACTAAGATGTTCCAAACAAAATTACCTAAAAAGCTAGGAGTTCGACCTGCTGTTTATTGGCGGCAAGGTTTATTGGTTTTTAACTTTAATGTAGGGATTTTGAGCATTTTTTCACTAAACCCGCCATTATTTTTTTAAAAAAAACGAAATTTGGGTTAACAATTTTGGCTTTAAAATGAAAAATTTTACTCATACCCCATCATTTATTCCTCTACCCCTGCATTATATATTTTTGACCCAAATATCCTCATATAAACATGTGTAAAATTTTTCTGGTTTAATTATTTGATCTAGAATTTAGTAAATAAATCTATCTTTAAAAGCTAATTTATTAATATTCTCAGCAAACATGGCAAATATTATCCATCTATACTACTATATAATCTTATAATGTCTCCATCAAAAATTTTCTGCTAAGTTTTTTTCTTTTAATTAATTAAAGTAATTTTTGTTTGGATAAATTAATGTAAAAGTCAGTTGAACGGCGGTGAAAAGAATTGATTTTAAATAAATTGATTATTTAAAATTGATTTTAGCTAAAAGTGAGTTGAAGGTGAAGTAATTTATGTTCGGATAAATTTATGGAGAAGTGAGTTGAACGATAAATTTCAAAGCAAAAATCGCGTTTAAACTCAATCTACAAATTCTAGCCTCAAATAGAATCGGTTCTACTTTAGAAGAACAAACATCCTTAAATAACTCCAAAATCAATTCTACACCTCTTGCCTTGTGTTTTTCTTTCCAGCGTTTCAACTGTGTTTGTCTTGCAGGAAAGGCAAAGGATTACATATGAAGAAAAGAAAAAGCTTGCCCAGCTTCAGTATCAAATAAAATCTCAGTTGGCTAAGTATAAAGATGAGTTGGCAAGTAAGAGGATGCAGGTATTGAATCTTTTAAAAGTTGGGAATTTGATTTTTTTTTGTCGTTTTAAGAATCTTTCTCATTCTTGGATTATTATTGTAAGGCAGAAAATGAACAAAAGAGAGCAAGGAACCAAGAGCTAGTGAAAATGCAAGAAGAATCTTCGATCAGATTGGAGCAAGCTCAGCGTTCAATAGAAGAACAGATTCAGGCACATCGGAGGCAGAGTGAAAGAGAGATGGCTGAGATTGAGCGTGAAACAATCCGAGTAAGGGCTATGGCAGAAGCAGAAGCGAGAGCGCATGAATCGAAGTTAGCGGAAGATGTTAATAGGAGAATGCTAATTGATCGTGCTAATAAGGAACGAGAAAAATGGGTTGCTGCCATAAATGCTACGTCGACCATATTGGAGGTACATTTCTATTTGTTGCATAGTATGCAATGTGCAAAACGTTACGATGACAATCTAAGAAGACAATAATCATCTATACATTTATGCATTTGTGGAGTTGAATACATCAACCAAATCATTGATTTTGTTGGTTTGATTAACTCCATCAGTATATTTGTTAGGTTAGTTAGACAAACTCCACACCAATCCTGATGTTTGAAAATTCGCTTTATCTTTTGTAGGGGGGCGTTAGAGCTATTCTAACAGATCAAAATAAGTTGGTTGTAGCAGTTGGTGGGGTGACTGCTCTGGCAGCTGGAATCTACACTACAAGGTATAAATTGTTCTCTATCTGTCTATTTTGTACGAATAAAAGAATTTTACTTTGTTGTCATTTGCATGGTATGCTTAGTTTATATTCACATTGGACTTAATGAAGGGAAGGTGCGCGGGTTATTTGGGGATATGTTGATAGAATATTGGGACAACCATCACTGATCCGAGAGTCCTCCAGAGGGAAATACCCCTGGTCTGGCGTGTTGTCTTGTACCATGAGCTCTCTGTCCCGACGTACCGATCCAGAATCTGCTTCAAAAGTTGGAAATGGTTTTGGTGATGTAATTTTGCATCCTTCTCTTAATAAAAGAATTGAGCAGATGGCATCTGCAACTGCACATACAAAAGAACATAATGCACCATTCAGAAACATGCTTTTTTATGGTCCTCCAGGAACCGGAAAGACAATGGCTGCCAGAGAGTTGGCTCGTAAATCTGTATGATTCCGTACATATCTATCGACCTTTTTTATGGTCCTCCAGGATTTGTTAGTATTTGTTATTTTGTCCGATTTTGTTTCAACTCAATGCAGGGATTAGATTATGCATTGATGACTGGGGGAGATGTTGCTCCGCTCGACTCGCAGGCTGTCACAAAGATACACCAGTTGTTTGATCGGTCCAAGAAGTCTAAAAGGGGTTTATTGCTTTTCATTGATGAAGCTGATGCATTTCTATGCGAGTAAGCAGCGCTTCTTTCATGATTTTTCATTTATTCTCGTTGCCTGAGGCAACACATGAAATTTATTTTTTATATGAAGAAAGTTACAAAAAAGAAGTTGCCCGCTAACAATGTGCAACGCGATATGAAAACTAACATTCTCTGCACAAATATCATCCAAGCAAATTGATTGTGTTGAATAAATTTTACAGGCGGAACAAGACTTACATGAGTGAAGCACAAAGAAGTGCACTCAACGCTCTCCTCTTTCGCACTGGTAACCAGTCAAAAGACATAGTCCTTGCGCTTGCTACAAACCGTCCCGGTGATCTCGATTCAGCTGTGTCAGATCGTATTGACGAGGTCCTAGAATTTCCCTTACCTGGAGAAGACGAGCGCTATAAACTTCTTAAGCTCTATCTGGACAAGTACATTGCCCAAGCTGGAGCAAGGAAACCTGGTTTAGTTCAAAAATTGTTGAAAGGAAGCCCACCAAAGATCGAGATTAAGGGATTGACTGATGATATCATTAAGGAAGCGGCGGCTAAAACCAAGGGATTTTCAGGAAGAGAAATAGCAAAACTGATGGCTAGTGTCCAAGCTGCTAAATACGGAAGCACGAATTGTGTTCTTGACGAAAGCTTGTTCCGTGAAGTGATAGATTATAAAGTGAGTGAGCATCAACAGAGAAGAAAATTGGCAGGTGCTGCTGATAAGGCTAGTGCATGAGGTTTTTCATCAAAGATTTTTTCAGCAATCTTTCTAATACAGATTTTGTCAAGCTTATTCGTTGATTGTCACTAATTGACGGAAGATTTTGGAATTTAAGCATAGTGAAATTTTGTTTAGTATTTTTGGCTTATAATCAGTATTGAATATGTACGACTATTTGCAACAGCTGACTGACTATTTGTGATTGAATAATAATATTACTTTCTGTTTCACTAGTTTTATTGTTAGTGGTGATGTTGGGTGTTCAAAATCTCATCATCACCTCAGATCATACCACCTCACCCTATCATAAACTTTGCTTATATCAATTTTAAGGGTCACTTCTCCCACGTTACTGTTTGCTTTTGGTGCAACGGTAAATAATCCATTTTTTTTTGTACAAATAAAAAAAAAACTTTATTAAGTAGGGAAAAAAATCTTTAATTTATCAACAAATTTAAATTATAACTTTATTGTTTATTGGCTCATTCACCTATTTACTGTATTTATGCCAGTGTAAAATAATTGATGAGCAAATTGTCTAATTATTTTAGTTGATGTAATTTGAAAACCAGAAATAAATAGAATTAACCAACATTTAAGACTGGCTTCTGAAAGTTAAATTATCCAACAAGCTATTTAAACAATATACCTTTTGTAACTGCCGGGCATTTAAGACTGCTTATAATTATCAAGTTGATTTCAGCAGTCATTACTTTGATTTCAGAACAGTAATATCATTACTTTGACTACAGAACGGTAATACTCCTAAAATGAATACATCATCAATTAATGCTTATTTTGAAATAAGAAATTTAATTACTGTGATTGGCAGAATGACACAGTGCGGGAGGTGCGACAAGCCGCCAAAATTATTAACCCAAATTTTGTTTTTAAAAAAAATAAGTCTAGGTTTAGTGAAAAAAAGCCCAGAATCCCTAACCTAGAGTTAAAAACCAATAAACCCTTGCAGCTAATAAACAACACGTCGGAGCCCTAGTTTTTTACCTAATTCTTAGTCTTACACAGATATTCGAGAGATGAAAAGGAAAAACGGAGAAGAAGGTGGTTTATTCCTACAAACTCTTCGGCGTAGAGTCGAATCCTATACAGCAAATAACTCATCCGCCGAGGCCGAGGAAATAGTCAATCATCTACGCTCAACTTATTCTGATTATCACCGAACAAAGCGTCAAGAACTGATTCGATTAGTTCTTAAGGCTATTAAGGTCATCAATAAGACTAGTCATAACAACGATATCGATAATGGTGAAAGCCATGATTCTTGTCGAAAGAAAAGTAAGAAAATAGACATAGAACAAGAAAAGGAAGAAATTTTGCCGATGACAACAACCTCAACCTCGTGTAATTCTGTTTTGGATTCTGATTCCGTGAGAAAGAAAGAGCCCATGTTTAAGGATTTAGGTGGGATGAAAAATGTAATTGAAGAATTGAAAACCAAGATTTTATGGCCAATCTTTAATCCTAACATGTTTAAACTTGGAGGGAAACCAATCGGTGGTGTTTTGTTGCATGGACTACCTGGTTGTGGCAAGACTAGATTAGCTCATGCTATAGCTAACGAGACCGGTTATAATTTCTATCCAACGTCTGCTACTCAATTTGTTTCTGGAATCTCAGGTTCATCTGAAGAAAATATCAGAGAGCTTTTTTCAAAAGCTAAAAGGACTGCCCCGTCAGTTATCTTTATTGACGAGATTGATGCAATTGCTTCAAAAAGAGAGAATTTACAGCGTCAAATGGAGACACGAATTGTCACACAGTTAATGATATGTATGGATGAAGTTAATGATCATCGTTTTGAGACTTCCGACAAACCTCGAGGTCATGTTCTTGTAATTGGAGCAACAAATAAGCCCAGTGCTATTGAATCTGCTCTGAGAAGACCGGGTCGTTTTGATTCGGAGATTCTTGTTCCTATTCCTGATCAATCTTCCAGGGAGGAGATTCTTAACGTGGTCACTCGTCATCAAAAACATGATAATTCAGTTGATTTGCAAAAAGTAGCCATGTCTACGCCAGGATTTGTTGCTGCTGATCTGGAAGCTCTAGCCAATGAAGCCTGCAGTGCGGCAATGGATAGGTTACGTAATGAAACAAAGCAAAAAAGTGACCAGGATGAAGATTGGTGGAAGGAACCATTGCCTCAAGATATTTTAGAGAAATGTGCAATCACCATGTCTGATTTTGAGGTGCTTTGAATTTGTTTACCTTTTTAGTTATTGTTAATTGATTTTTTTTCATTCATGGGTTTGTTAAATTATATGTGTTTGTGAGTTATCTTTCCTTCTATTTTCGCTATAATCGGTATTTATTTGTGTTACATAGGAAGCATCCAAAAAGGTGCAACCTTCCTTAACAAGAGAAGGATTTGCTCCCATTCCTGACGTTAAATGGGAAGATGTTGGTGCGCTTGATCATGTAAGACAGGAGTTTGATCGCTACATTATAAGGCGTATAAAACATCCCGAAGATTTTAAGGTAATTTTTAATATTAAACAATTTTTATTCAATTTTTGTTAAGTGACAAAAACTCATGAATTAATATGGATTAATAGTGAGATATAGATGTATAAATAAAAAGGTAGATAATGAACATAATCCAAACCAAAGGAATTTGCAATATATGTTAGAATATGTTTTGTATAGGATTACCTGAGGGTTGGGGTTGGAAATAATATTATCAACTTCTCTTTCCTAGGGACAATATTATCAGTTGAAGGTTGTCTGCTACTTGATATAATTTGTAATCACATAATTTCAGCAATAATAATATATGTCCAAGTTTTTTTTTCCGTTTTCGGTTACTATTTTATTTCGATATTAATTATTCTGATTAGTTTGAGAAGAGATTTTTGCAGAATTCATTATATTTTTTGGGTTTTTCTCTGCTAAGCTGTTCATCATTAGTTTTTACAGTCTAGAAGATTGTCAAATGTACCTTAATCAATTGTAGTGCTTTTTTTATGCCCTTAAACAGGAAACACGGTAAAAATAGAAAAACACACTAAAAAATAGTGAGATACTGATTTTATTGAATTGAAAGGTTGCAAATGCTCCTCAGAGAAATTGCAATCTTTACCTAACCAACTGCAAAACAAACTTTTGCATACCCATTAATATCTTATCATATCTCTGTATAACAGAAACTAAACTCAAACCATCCCCTTACACTGACCCTCCTACCACATCAGCAGTTGTCCCTATCCCTACTTTCTAATTTTTCTCACATATAACTTTGTGTCTATCACTTTCGTATTACCCATTTTCCTTTTCAAAATCATCACTCAAAATTGGTCTAAATCTGTTGACATAATGAGCTCAACTTTGTATCAAGTCCTAAGTATTTGGAATTATTTTACAATCACAAGATCACTCGTCAGTGTTACTGAAATTATTTATTTCAGGGGTTCACGAGGAATCTTGAAACAGGATTTTTACTGTTTGGGCCTCCAGGTTGTGGGAAAACACTAATTGCCAAAGCTGTTGCCAACAAAGCAGGAGCTAATTTTATTCATGTTAAGGTCTGTTTAAATTTTTCAACTTTTTTCTCATTAGTTTTGGTTTTCTCATTACTTTAATATAATAAGAAGATATTAAAATAAATTATATATTATATTCTAACAGCTTTGTTAAATTTTTAGGGACCTGAGCTTCTAAATAAATTTGTTGGAACAAGTGAGCATGACGTCCGAAAAATATTTAGTCGTGCAAGGACATGTGCACCTTGTATAATTTTTTTTGACGAGGTTTGTGGATCTCTCTCCTCAAAGAATTTTGGTTAACTCCATCATAATACATGATACTATCATGTATTGCCATCACAGTAATTTTTGTTATTTTTTGCATGCTTTATTAAACTTCCATCGGCTCGTGCACTTGCTATGATCAATGTGCATTTTTGAATTTTTTGTTTGTTTGCTAAGAAGCATGTACATGAGACATGTTATTTTTCATTAACATCATCAATCTATGAAGGGCTTAGATGAATGCACATTTTTGGAAAAGTAGTTTGTTTCTTGCTCAGTAAGCATGTATAAGGCACATATAGTTATCTTATCTGTTATTAATATATTCAATCTATGAAGGGCATATGTGAATTCTGAGAAAGTCGAGTTTGTTAGAATTGAATAACAACATGCTATTTTTTTCCGTTTTTCAGGTTGATGCTTTGACAAAGGAGCGTGGTAAAGAAGGTGGTCAGAATATTGAAGGAGTGTTGAACCAGGTAAAACATATTCTACTTTTTGGTTTGAAAGGAATTTTCATATTGACTTCTTACTCTTTTAAACTGTTATATTGCAGTTGCTTATTGAGTTAGATGGTGCAGAGAACCGTAAGGGTGTTTTTGTGATTGGTGCAACAAATAGGTACCTCTGGTTCATCATCTCTGTTTTCTAGCTAATTATTTTAAATGTTATCATATAAAGGATATAGTGGTGCACTATAAACTATAGTATAATGAAATTTAAACAAACTACTATTGTGTCTGAGATGCATAATTTAGTACAAAGTATGGCTATGGCAGCGCTACAGCTCTGTGGTGTAGCAGAATTTAAATAAACATTTTTTTTTTGGCATTCTACGAGCGACAACATTGGGTTTACTTCACATTATGTTCTATTCACTCAATTTTTCATTTTGTAGGTTTGATGTTATAGACCGTGCTATCTTACGACCTGGTAGATTTGGTAAACATCTTTATGTTCCTCTTCCAAGCCCAGACGACCGCGTAAAAATATTGAAAACTCTTGCAAAGGATTTTATTATTGACGCCAGTGTGGATTTGAATGTCATCGGAAGAATGGAAGGTTGTAAAAACTTTAGTGGTGCTGATCTTGCTGAATTGGTGTGTCACTGCTCTCTTTATTTAATTTTTTTAGGGTTATTTGGATTTCATATTTGCTTGATTTTAGTGTTTGCTTAATGTGTCAATGTACATGTTTGATTATATATAAGAAAAAGTCATTTTGATGGATTTGCTGATTTTTATGTCCTTTCAGATGGAAGTAGCAGGGATGGCTGCTCTCATCGAGAAATGGGACTCAAATGAGGAAACTAGTGGCACCATCAAGACATGTCATTTTGAGGCAGCACTGAGAAAAATCTCTCCCTCTGTATCAGTCCCGGTATGTTCATCTGCTAAATTTCAAGCAAACTTTCCTTTTTTCTTTTGGAAATTCATATTGGTTTTTTTAAGCAGCAAAGGCAGTACTATCAACACATTTCAAAGAGCCTTAAATTCAAATGAGACGCAGGGGCAGCGTTAGCAATGACCTATCAACATATAAACTTTGAAGTTGAAGAAAAGGGGAAGACGCAGGGGCAGCGTTAGCAATGACCTATCAACATATAAACTTTGAAGTTGAAGAAAAGGGGAAGGAACCAGTTGTTATTGTGTTGAATTACAAACTATATTTGCCTATAATTTATGGCACATTTAATCCTCTCTCATTGCATGAGGGCTTAAGCCCTGAATAATGTAGGTTTTGTTATTTAATCCTCTCTCATTGGAAGTTGATTAACTTTATGCCCGTTCTAATTGCTATTTTCGTTGCTTCGACCATAGCTAAGGTTTCTGTTTCCAATGTCGAATTGCCTCCATAAAGACGTTTGAAGGTTGTGAAAACTATCCGGTTATTGTTGTTGGTGAAGACTGCTCCCAGACCCTAGTACATGTCTATCGCCAGACTAACATAGGTGATGCATGTGATTCTCTCACTATCATTAAGCTTTTTATCTTCTCTCTTTTCTTCATTGTTGACTTTTATCACTATCCATGTATTTCTCCCTCGCTGGTTGTATATCTTCTTCTTATTGTTCTTTTTATTTGTCTGATTAATTACATGGTTCTTCACCTCTTTGACAAAGCGGTCCTCAGTGATGATGTATGCGGCTTTTAACTTGGATCCGATCCCATTTGTCGGTAGTTGGTGTTACCTTTTCCCTTATTCTACTCATGTTGATACTCTATAATCTCACTTTTACCTTTGTAATTCCATTGTTTTTCATTGAGCAAGTCGACCAAATTATCTCTATTGGTTTCATTCTGATGTTGGTTCTTTAAGGGATTATCTCTGATAGCCTTCTTTAACTGAGTTAATCTACAAGTCTGAGTACCATAACTCTGACTGTTATAATGCTTCTGAGTTTTATCCTTCGACCTCATATTGTTATTGACCTTCTTCTGCTCCTTTCTACTATGTGTTTCTTTGCAAGACTGGTTTCATGGGTATTACTTTTGCTGTACTTCTGAGGACTTATCTCCTTGTCTTAATTATTCTGCCGCTTCTTCTTGGTAATGTCAATGTAACATATCTTTTGATTGTTTCTTTTATTCTCTTCTTTAAACATCTTTCTAGTATGAGACTTTTGGTGAATTGTGATATGAGAAGTGGAGAAGTATAATTACACATTCTGATGTTGCTGTCAGAGTTTGGTTTGGGCATGTTGTTTGGGCTTTAGTGTATTAGGCCCATTATGGGTGTAGTATAAATTTATTGATGCCTGTAGAAAGTTTTGGCGTGTAGAATCATTTATCATTGTAACAGAATTCCAATTGAGAAATCGAAGTTAGTTACATATCTGATTTGTCTCTCTTCTTCCATCTTCATCTTTATCATCTTCATCTTTGTGCTCCAATAATTTGTATCTAGAGCTCCGGTTTGAATCCGCAGTAAGCGAAACACGAGAGTACGTGAGGTGTGTGATTATCTTGAGTTTTGGTTCGTTCAATTCACAATGATTTGACGATTATAATCATTTCAAAATCATATTTCTTGATTTCGAGGGATCGGAAAACACAAGTGTTTTGTGAGATCTGAGTGATTTTTTGCACAAGATTGAAGATGAACGGAGAAATGGTAGTTTGAATACAAAACTTCGGGTGTTTGATGGAAAGAATTGGAATCGATGGATGATTCTGATGAGTGTGTTTTTTGGCACTCAAGATGTGCTTGATCTCGTCAACAACAATTACACACTGATTGTTGTTGATGCAACAGAAGCACAGAAAAACGCTCAGAAGGATACGAGGAAGAAGGATCAGAAAACATTGTTCTATATCCATTAGTGTGTGGATACTAATGTCTTTGAGAAAATTATTGACGCTACGACACCAAAGGTGGCGTGGGATACACTTTTGCGGTGTTATGGTGGTGACGTCTCAGAGAAGAATGTGAAGCTATAATCTCTATGTAAATAATATGAGAATCTCAACATGAAGAACAATAAGAAGATACCTAATTATATCTCCAAAATAATTTTGATCACTAATGAAATGAAGTCTCAAGGAAAATTCAGAGCTTAGTTTGGCGCACACCAACTACTTGATTCATTAAAAATAGTTTATAGGTGTATTAATCAATCCAAACATACGTTAGATATTTGTGTTGTATTGAGTTGTATTGAATTCTCATCATTAGTTGGATATTTGTGTTGTATTTAATTTAATTATTTAAATATATATTTTTAAATAACTTATACAATCTAAATAAAATATATTTTTTTTATAAGAGGAGTACTCACTAATCATATCTTAATTAACTAAATCATTATTTTCATTTTAAAAAGTTGCAAGTCATATTATTAAAAATAATAGGATTAAATATGTTTGTCGTCTTCTTAAATATCTTTAATTTTGTTTTTAGTCCTTTCAAATATGTTCTTTAAAGAAAGATCCTCCTAAAATTTTCATCTCTGCTTTTGGTCCCTGATACTAAAATCGTCGTCAAAACTGTCTCTAATTCAGTTGCTAAGTAATAAATAGTCGCTAATTTTATCGTGGTCAATTTCCATATCGTGGTCAAACCTCTCTCAAAACCATCTTGAAGGGATCATACCAAGAGGGAATCAGTTCAATACATTTCAAAATGATTCATATAAGGGAAACTCAGGGCTATGTGGGTTACCTTTGTCAAAAAAATGTCACGGGGATGAAGATGAACCAATAGATTTGACACCAGTTCAGGTAATTTTTATTTGATTGGAAAGTTGTGGCTATTGGATATGCTTGTGGAGCGGTAATTGGAATTCTGTTAGGTTGCATAATGTTTTTGATTGAGAAACCACTATGGGTAATCAAATTTGTTCAAGACATTGCCAATCGAATAGTGAAAAAGAAGAGGAACTGAACTTAACATTATAAGCCAATGTTGCAGTTAATAAAACTGAGTCATTCAGTCCAATTGTTTATAAGAAATGGTCTTTCTATTTCACTTTCTATTTCACATTTGGAAGTTTTTGATCCTATGATGAAGTGTAGAACATAATGTCAAAGTTGGGCGGTAAGTACAAAACCACAAAAGAAGGGAAGTTTTACCTCATACCCCTACACTTGTACCTGTACCCCTACATTAAAAATTTTTGGACCAAAATATCCTCGTATAAAAATTTATTATTTTTTAATTTTTTTATATTTTTTTATTTGTTTACCGGAAGACTTTTTGGAAGTCTTCCGGTTCACATTTTTTTCGTATGTTTACCGGAAGACTTCCAAAAAGTCTTCCGGTTCATATTTTTTCGTTTGTTTACCGGAAGACTTTTTGGAAGTCTTTCGGTTCATATTTTTTTTTTAATTTGTAATTAATATTTAAGATTTATTAACTTTATATAAAGACCAATTTAGTGAATTTTTGAATATTATACTTAAAATATAAAAATTCTATAAATAGAGAATTATTTTCAGAATATTTTCTATTTGCTATAATTATTAGAATACAATGAGATTAAAATCATTTATTTTAAATGATCATAATAGTAAAATTTTCTCAAATATCTTATTAATCTTAAACATTAATAAATAAAATAAATTTAAATATAGGATATAAGTTTACTTTATTCAATATATTTAATCAAATGAAAACATATGTGATAAATAAATAATGTATTTTAACTTAAAATGATCACAATAAGTTAACTTGCAAAATAATATAAGTAATAAATTAATAATGTATTTTATTTAAAATAATCACAATAATAGAATACGCAAATAATGTGTTTTATTTATAGGACTGATATAGTTTTATTGATTATTTAATTTTAAATACTACTATGAATATAGTATTTAATCTATACTTTAGAACTCACATAATTATAAATATAAAAAATATTATTTTATTACCCATATTTTTATTTAATTAAAAAAATAAGAATATAAATTTATTATTTGTTTTTCATTTTCGTTTGATCTTTTTTTTATTTATAAATTTTTTGCATATTCTATACTGTGCTTACTTTAAATAAAATATATTATTTATTTTATTAAAAATATCAAATAAAGTGAAATAATTAAAAAGATCAAACAAAAATGAAAAACAAATAATAAATTTATATTCTTATTTTTTTTTAATTAAATAAAAATATGGGTAATAAAACAATATTTTTTATATTTATAATTATGTGAGTTCTAAAGTATAGATTAAATACTATATTCATAGTAGTATTCAAAATTAAATAATCAATAAAACTATATCAGTCCTATAAATAAAACACATTATTTGCGTATTTTATTATTGTGATTATTTTAAATAAAATACATTATTAATTTATTACTTATATTATTTTACAAATTAACTTATTGTGATTATTTTAAGTTAAAATACATTATTTATTTATCACATATGTTTTCATTTGATTAAATATATTGAATAATGTAAACTTATATCTTATATTTAAATTTATTTTATTTATTAATGTTTAAGATTAATAAGATATTTGAGAAAATTCTACTATTATGATCATTTAAAATAAATGATTTTAATCCTAGTATTCTAATAATTATAGTAAATAGAAAATATTCTGAAAATGATTCTCTATTTATAGAATTTTTATATTTTAAGTATAATATTCAAAAATTTACTAAATTGGTCTTTATATAAAATTAATAAATCTTAAATATTAATTACAAATTAAAAAAAAAACATGAACCGGAAGACTTCCAAAAAGTCTTCCGATAAACAAACTAAAAAAATATGTACAGGAAGACTTCCAAAAAGTCTTCCGGTAAACATACTAAAAAAATGTGAACCGAAAGACTTCCAAAAAGTCTTCCGGTAAACAAATAAAAAAATATTTAAAAAATTAAAAAATAATAAATTTTTATACGAGGATATTTTGGTCCAAAATTTTTTAATGTAGGGGTATAGGTATAAGTGTAGGGGTATGGGATAAAACTTCCCAAAAGAAGCTCACATGGGGTAGCAACTATATTTTTTAATGTAGAACTTTATGTAAATGCGTTCAACGCATATT